CTTTTCTTTCGTCCTTTCTCTCTTTCCTCCCCTATCAGAGCCACCCATTTAGCATTCAAAGATTGTACTAGTATGTACCTCATACCTTTGCCGAGGCTAGCTCAGACACAGTGCGGGGATGGGGACAAAAATCATCTCCCTGCAGAGTTGTGGGTAGGCCATTTTCACAGAAGGGATTAAATGTCGTCAGACCGTACCTATTTCTAACGCATTTCTGAGAGTTTACATGTAATTACAGCCACTGACATACTATATTTAAAAATTCTCTAAGGAGGGGTGCTTGATAAAAGAATCCTCCAGCAAAGCAGCAGTAGTTAGAAACTGTCACTGCTTCATATATCAGCTTTCTAGATCTTCACTTGTGCTTTAGCTGCTGTTAGACAGGAACGCACCTGTAGCTCAGCCAGCTTTCATTCATTTCATAGCTATGACCTGGGAGTCAGCGGACACGTCTGGGTACTAGAACTCTTGGTTCTCACAGACAACACCACTCTAATTGCAGTTCCTCAAGAGAGGAAGAAAGGACAAATGATTCTGCTTTAAAATGGAATGTTTGCCCTAAACAAACAAAAAGAAACCCTCTGTGTGACACTGAAGCTTGTAGATTCCCGTCTCACCTGTGAAGTCCTGCAGTTTGGTTATAACATATGGACTCTGTCTGCAAAATGCTTTTGAAATGCTGTGTTGGCACCTTGCTGCCGTCTGCCAGCACATGGGCAGTCAGTCCATACGGTGCCACTCCATTTTCTTAAATTCTATTTTGATTATGAGCTGTTGCAAGTTGTCAAGGGTTTCTCTTCCCTCTAGCGCTACAAAATGAATGATGGCAACAGAGGTCACTGGATGTTGCTGGTTATTACCACATAAGCCAAAAATCAGATCATTTTCTATTATTTACAAGGAGCTCTGGCTACAGGGTCAGAGACCCGATTCTAGTCTCTAAAGCACCGTGTCATCTGGGACTAGGCACTTCATCTCTGAGTCTGTTTCTTCCTCTGTGAAATGAAAATTTAAAACGGATTAAGAAAAGTGTGTAAACCAAGGATTTGATATTTATAATTCCAGTTTTTACAACAATTAAAAGAATCCAAAAGTTATAATGCTATGCAGTTATTAAGGACAAAGAAGAAAAGATAAATGCCATTTTAATTAAATCTGCAAATGTCAACGAGCGGGAAGTTCTACCAGTAACTGTGACTGTGTCTTAATGGAGTCCAAAAGAGTTTCCTCTTTGGGAAGTGTGAGCTAATACACCCACAGAGGAGTGATTTAGAACAGGGATATTTATACTGGATGGGAAATGCTGGGAAGCCGAGGTTTTATATCAATACCAAGAGGCAAGAGTGGGCAGCTGGTGAGGTGCAAAACAACATATAGATTTGAAATATTTCCTTTTAATGTTGATGATAGATTTATCATATCACATTAGAAGTCTAGGATAGCAATCTATAAGTTATATGTGTACATACTCTAAAAAGATTAGCCTGCCTGTTCACCACCCCAGTCTATGAATGGTTGATTAGTCTAGGATGGCAATTTTCAACCTTTTTCTTCTCACGGTGCACATAAACTAATCCCTAAAATTCTGTGGCACACAAATTTTATATATATATATTTTTTAGAGGCCCAGTGCATGAATTTGTGCACAGGTAGGTCCCTTGGCCTGACCTGCGATTGGGGCCCATTTGGGCTGGCCAGTGGGGAGAGGGGGCAAGGGCCATGGGAGGTGGGCTGGCTGGCCCACCCCCCGATCAGGTTGATCCGATCATGGGGGCTGGCCGTCTGGCGGGAGGGGACGTGGGTGATTGGCCAGCCAGGGAGAGGAACTGTGAAAGGTTGGCCACCGGCCCCCCCATTTGGGCTGATTGAGGTTGGCTGGCTATGGGGAGGGACCGGGGGAAGTTGGCCAACCACGGGAGGTTGGCTGTGGGAGCCAACTGACCACCAGGGGGCAGCTCCTATGTTGAGTGTCTTCCCGCTGGTGGTCAGTGTGCCTTATAGCAACTGGTCGTTCTGGTTGTTCGATCTTAACGGTCACTTAGGCTTTTATATATATAGATTTTTGCCAACTTGACAAGAAATTGATATACTTTTGATTCATTCACACCAGATAGCTATTGCTGTGTTGGCTGTTGTCCTTTTTTAATTTGACAATCTAAGGGAAAAGAGGTCAGTTCTCCTCACTAAATAGTCTGTGCTCCTCACTAAATTTTAAAAATTCTTGTGGCACACAGGTTGAAAATTTCTGGTCTAGGACCATGATGTCTGTATACTAAGCTAGTGACCATAAACACAGGTCATCTAAAACTTACCTGAGGTTTTTTTTTTTTTAACATTTTTATTGATTTCAGAGAGGAAGGGAGAGGGAGAGAGACAGAAATATCAATGATAAGAGAGAATCATTGATTGGCTGCTTCCTGCATAACCCCCAATGGGAATTGAGCCCGCAACCTGACAGGGAATCGAACTGTAACCTCATGGTTCATAGGTGGATATGCTCAACCACTGGGCCATGCAGTCGGGCAATGGAGGTTTTTAATTTGCATTTCTCTGATGATTAGTGATGTTGAGCATCTTTTCATATATCTATTGGCTATTTGTATGTTCTCCTTGGAGGTTGGGTGGGGATGTTGGAGGGATTGAGCAAAAAAGAAAATAAAAAAGAGAGAAAGCTCATGGACATGAACAACAGTGTGGTGATCGCTGACAGAGAGAGGGGGCAGGAGGAAGTGGAGGCGAGTATGGGGGGATAAATGGTGATGGATGGAGACTTGACTTGGGGTGATGGACACATAATACAAGTGTACAGATGATGTGCTGTAGAATTGTGCATCTGAAACTGGTATAATTTTGTTAACTGGTGTCACCCCCATAAATTTAATAAAAAGGAAAAAAAACACCCAAAACTCACCCAAGGGGAAAATCCAACTGTTTAAGGACTCCTCTCCAGCTCCCCTCTGCTCACACACACCCTGTCCACTGCAGGGAAGGAGCTGTAACCTCAGCTACATCTTTGACTCCTGCAGGAGGCAGGCGAACCACAAGGATCCAGTTTGTGCGCAAGTCCCTTTTATTCAACTAAGACACCCCGGTGTATTGGGAAGGCATTCTAGCTGTAGGGAAGATGCTTGCACAGTGCACCACCAGCAGTGCTTGGGTAGAAAGCTAAAATAGCCTACTGTTATTCCACAGAATCTCTTGATTTTTTGGTGGAAAGAATCCTAGCCGAACAAACTGCTCTTTGCCTCCAGTCAGCCTCTGGGTTTGCTCAGCTGCCTAAGCTCTGTGAGAGCAGAGGAAACAAATGACCCCAAGCTAAAGCCCAGATCCTGGTTATGCATTTATGTCTCAGCCACAGACGAGGGCCCTGACTCTGAGGTGCTCAGGAGACAGAGTGATGGTAACTGGAGCCCCGTGGCTGGTAATCTAGGGGGTTCCAAAGTCAGGCACCGCCCCTCCCTTCTTTTCCTTCAGGCTGTGGTCTGGCACTGAGCAGGAGATAATTTCCTTCGACCCCCGCCGGAGGATTCCCTGTGCTTCTGGGCAACGTAGCCTTGACCATTTCTAACAGACATTACCAGCATATTCTGACCCCAGGAAAGGGGACACCCTGCCCAACTTTCCCTTTGCCTTCTCTGTTTCATGCTTTCCCCCACCAGCAGCCTCTGACCCCGCCTCAGTGCACGTTTTGCCTCCCCTCCCCGCCCTTGACCCTGCTTATGCAATCCTCGGTTCTCAACAGGTCCAGGTGGAAAGGAAGTCTTCGATTCTTGCTTCTTAGACTGGAGCATGCCATATTTACCTGGAAGGCTTATTGAAACAGATTGTTGGCCCCTGCCCCTCGTTCCTTCTCTGTGGTAGTAGATAGAGCCCCGTGATTTGCATTTCTAACAAGTTTTTTGGGAGGTGCTAGCTGGTGGGACCACTTTGAGAACCACTGTCTTGGATAAGAGAAGATGCCGCGGGCGTGAGCTCCTTTTCTCTCCTTCTCTCCCCGCTGCTTTCTCACCTATGCCATTTCCCCCTCTCCGTAGTAGATTTCGCCTTTTGGACTCCGTTTCTAAGGGTTGCACTCCTGTCCCCGGGTGCAGGCAGATAGAGGGTTGTTAGGGAGGAATCCTGTGGGCACTCCCAGCCCTGCCCAGCTTTGCTCCCACCGCTGTCCCTGGTTTCCACCGCAAACGCTGCCCGCGCCCGCGCCCTCTCTGCCGTGGTGGGAAT